AACCTTGCCACCATCTATGAGCCGATTGTCTGGAAAATGTGGGAACCTCAGCATCTCAAAACCCTATGGGCCTCCATGGACTGTTATAGAATACCTTTACGTTTGAACTTTACTTTACTAAAATATTTTAAATGTTTTAAGTGATTCAAATTAAAGTTGAAATACGTGTATATGTTTTATACTAACAATGAGCACGAAGAAAAAGAAGTTAAATTTCGATTTGAGCTAATATAAAATAGAGGTCATGCTTGACTGACATGAACTAAGATCAACTAAGATCAGTTGCCTCCTCTCTTGTAGACTTCTTTTAAATCTCTGTTAGTCCAATTAAGGGTATTCGCTGAAGATCAAGGTAGTCACAGGAGCCAACTTGGGCTGGTAACATGTGAAGGGCTATGAGTTAGTCATCTAAAACCGCGCCATAGCTCAGGCTGTTAGTCGCTGACTTCCCACCGCGGCGGCCCGGGTTCGATCCCGGGTCTGGTCAAGTGCGATTTATGGTGGACAAAGTGGCTCTGGGGCAGGTTTTCTCCGAGTACTTCGGTTTCCCCTGTCAATCTTCATTCCACCAATTGCTCCACAATCACCCTCACCTATCATCTGGGGCTGGTACAATAGGCCAGAAGTGACCGCAGTACAAGGGACTTAGTCCCACCCCACTAGTAATAAAAATATTATAATAGAAATAATAGTTATCTAAAACACCAGCTCAGAGGTTGATGGAAAACTATCAATTTTGATGGCGAGATCATCTTCATCTGACCAGACATGTTCATTTTGAATGCTGGTTATCCCACTCGTTGTGAAGCATGAGTTTTGCAAGGATCAGAAGCTAAATTTGGGGAAGAATGTGTAAACTTAAGGTTTTCGACCGAAAGTTTCAAACCCCACTGTAAATAGCCATTATACAACTGTACCTCTAGGTAAAGAGTGGCGCTTTGGCTCCTAGTTACGCACACAAAGCTCGCCTTTATATTGAAACTCACAGGCTCAGCATCAATATCACATACCGCTCCAATGAAGCACTTCAATCACAAGAGCATCACCACAACTTACGCTCTTTCCCATGAGAAATTATCTTCTGTCGTCCATGGCATAAGCTCAAGCCTATGCCAGTGCCATGGCAACCTTACAACTGTTCTCCTAGCGTCTCCGCGCCTCTTTGTTTCATATTGGAAAGAAGCTTTCGTAGTTCCTGAAGCGGGTAAGTCATTTTACGCTATAGTTCCTCGTCCTTCTTCCTTTTACCAAATAAATGTTTAGTTTCTTCTGTATGACCCTAATTCTTAATTCTGTCTAATCTCACACGTCTTTCTATCCTAATCCCTCCCATTCCTTATATTAGTCTCTTAGGGGAATTCTTCCAGGGTTACTTCACCATCAATATTCTGCATGCGTTACTCGTTTCGCCCAGCTAAGCTGTATCTTCCTTGATTTAATTATCCTAGTAATACCGGAATCCGATTTCAGACGCTATTTCGTAAACTTACGAGTAAACCAGATTTGGGGAGCCCACGGAACAGGAAGGAAGGATCAATTTTGGCCTAAACCACGTTTGTAAAATTGCAATTATTATTATTATTATTATTATTATTATTA